TTTGAATCCTTTGAGCCAGTTTATAAACTCTAATGGGATCGATTCCCAGAAGAGTCTATGCTCATGTAATAGCTTATTAATGTCCATAGTTTTAGAATAACATCTTTAATGGCCACATATGGGTAGGATATCTGAGCATCAATACACTTTTAGCCTTGTAGTGTATTTAGTGTTGTATTCTGATCTCAGAATGGACTAAAGGTTTATTTAAAAAACGACCTTGTACTCAGTCTAAAAAGTAAACTAAAAAGACACTGCACAGAATATACATATCAGCAAAAAAGGTAGATCTAGTTATTGTAAAGTTTTTACTTTTGTAGCTATAGTTTATCAGTCATACATTTTATTTCTGGGTCTCATAGCTGTTTCATTCATTTTGCCATGTGGGGAGTCTGTAGATAACACTTTTGATTACCTAAATAAAACAATGAGTCATTTTTTAGCTTATTTAATGGAACAAAGAGAATGTTGTATTCATAAATATACACTGATTAATGTGTAACGTCTGTCAGGGTGTCCAAAGCCGACACTGTTAGATCCACTTCGAAGACTGTTTCGCTAACAGCAGCTAACAGAAACGCCTACAGACAGAAAAGTTCAGGATATCCTCAAAAACTCACCTCAGTATTGCTGTCATCAGACAGCAGTGAGCTTTAGTGACTCACTCGCTTGCATCAGACCCCTTTCACAAAGTTTTACAGCTACCAGAGTAAATGCACGCGGACACCCAGCATATTGACACCTGAGGTAAACACACTCACTACAGATAAACACCAGCCAGAGGTGTTTGTCCCACAGGGGCCACCGTAGCTAGGAATATGCACTTAATTGGAAGGGGTAAGAAAACAGACTTCAATTGACTGCAATCTGGAACTTACTGAAATCTAGTGGTGAGATTTTACACACCATACCTTTAAATTTTGCAACTATACCCCTTCTTGTGTGCCTCTGCACCACTTCCACCACTTGCCTGGAAGTAGCCTATTTGTCAATTTCACCACCGACCTCAAACTTGCAAAAACTAATAAAAGAGAAGAAAACAAAGAAAACAGGCCCAGATTTGATGTTGAGGATCATTGGTGGCCATGAAAGCTGGACGACCAATGCTGGCCTTGCAAACACAATCAACATTTGGCTTACTTCTCTTTTCTGAATAAAAAATGAAGTCGCAGGGTAAATCATCGCTGATGACATCTCGTATGTAGACTTCAAAAGCTATTCTCCTTTTAAAGACAGAACCCTTTGCAGTACGAACTGAATATAAATTGCACTAAATTCTGCATGTTTTTGTGCTCGGTCCACAAAGGTAACAAACTAATGAATTCTCTTCAGCTCGGGTCATGCTTGTGGAATAATGAACGGTGAGATTTCACATGAGGGTTGTTATCCGCTCCATGCATACGCCTGACCTCTGTTGTTTACTCTGATGTTCTCCTCTCGGTTATGTGGTTGTTGTTTTTTTCTTCTCTGTCTCAGACTTTAAATTGATGCAATCAAGCCTTCCTCTTCAACTACTGCAAACCACTGGTTTTTGTTTAGTTTGTTGTTTGCTCCTGTTGTCTATAATTATTATTAGTATGAGACTTTTTGCATGTCAGGCTTCCTCTGGACTCTAAATAATAAGTGTGTGATTGCTGTATTTTAATGAGTTACTGACTGGAAGCAAATCTACAAAAGGTTCACATGAAGTCTGCAATGACGGCTTATAACGTGTGCTTCCAGACCTGCAAATGAAACTAATGCCGGTGATTTGTAATGCTGATGTGATGGCAGTCTTAAGTGGATGTCAGATTAAATGATAGCACGCCTGAGGCATTCTGATAAAATCTCAGAACACGGAGATCCTGATACGTTTCTCTTCGTTTCTCATATTCTTTATTTGCTCAGCCTGTCTGTGCTCCATCCCACACATCCGCCACCTCTGCATCTAACTTCCTGCATCTCTCTCTTTCTCTATCAGGGAGCTGAAGCACAGAGCGACGCAGCAGCCAAATGAGCCCAAGTTCCAGATACACGACTACATCGAGTCTCAGAAGCACAAGACTGGCTGCTGTGGCCCGTAGCTGATGCTGATAATCTGGCAGCGAGAGACACATACAGATAAAGAAATGTGGAGGGAGGGAAAGTTTAAAAAAAAGAAAAAAAAAAAAAAAGGCTGGTCTCTCTTATGAAAGCCAATCCCTGCACCAAAACCTGAGAAGCAGACGTCCTCGTCTTCGCTCCACCGAGCTTTCGGCTGAATGAAAGTGAATCTGGATTGGTTGCCATCCCCTATTTGAAATGTGAATTTCTACCTTTTATGTCACGTGTAGAGATATTTGTGGGTTTTTTTGTGGTGACAGTTGTATCAAAGCTACCAGTCAGAAGTTGCGGACTGAAACGCTATATCCATCTGCAGGGATGGGACGAATGAACAGGTTAAACAACCGCTGGTGCCGGCGATTGCCAGCGTGGATATAGCATTTCATTGCTGCACAACTCTGAGCTTGTTTAATCCCAGTTATATCAGGCTGTGAACAGAATCCTTTTTTGGCCTTACAGTCTTTTAAATCTTTAAGTGAGTCTGAGTCTCACGATGAGATTGTAGCTAAAATGATCCCATCTGTTCACATCTGTACTGCTGTTAGATAGAATAAAGCCAACGTTTGGAGGGCGTTTACCCACTCTGTGTCTGTCTGTACATTCAATTCAGGGCCAGCCATCCCGAGTACTATATGTGTAACTATAGACAATGGGATTATTTCCACTGTTCCCTCCACATGCACCACTCACACACAGCAACAGCACAGCACTCCCCCTCACACAACCATTGTCGTGTCCCCTTCGGTGGTGGATGTCGGTGTGTGTAGCCTGTAGCGAAGCTGTATTTGTGCATCACTTTTCTTTGTACGCTGTTCTTTGCTCATTATGAACGTTTGCTCGTCAGACTTGCTCTGTGTCACATTTGTCCTCTCTTGAGAGGTTGTCACGGTGATCACAAAGTGCCATGAAAAAGTGCTTTGTTGTCATACGATCTATAAATATATATATATATTTTGTAATGTACGTGCTGCTGCTTTATTGAAGTCTGGCTTGTCTGTGTTTCTGTGTGT